ATCGTCAACAGCCTCAGATTCCCTGGATAAAAGGCTCCTTCACAACCAAAAGCTTTTGGGTTCACATGCCTCAGGTTTTCATCTTATTTACTTACTTATTCTGGAAATCAACAAAATATCTGGCTTCCAAAAAAAACCATAGGAATGCATGTCACAGAAAATACCTCACAGAAAATGATGCGCTGGGGTTTGGTGAGAAACCCAACTGATCACTTGCCTGGCATGAACAAAGCTCTGGTCTGATCCCCAGCACCAAGGAAATAAACAAATACTGCACTGTCGTCCTGTGATAGACCTGCCCTATATTTTTGCTTAAATTATCATCTTATTATCCGAGTGACGCCTTGGACCAATGTACTCAAAGAGCAGGCAAGAGTTTTAGGATAGTAAACACAAGTGCCTGTGTGCTTTGCTCATACACAGACACGCACGCGCGCGCGCACACACACACACAATGTATGTGGAGCTGTGTGAGGTCACATGTCTATTGTTCGCAAAATCTGCATATACTGCTGTCCCATACAAGCACAGTTATGGGTAAAGAAGGGGCCCCACCAGGGCTCTCATTTGGGTGTTCAAGGACTGCAGACTTGCTTTGTGATTTTCTTGGAATCGATTCTTGTATCCATCCTTTCAGAAACCAATCCAAGGACTTGGAAGTTCATGTATAACGTTGACAAAAGTTTTTATATAATTCAGCACATCCTCCCATAAGCCTTGAAGCATCTCCGCATTTTATCACAGCCAGTACACTGCAAATGGTTATTATGCTGTATTGGTTGGAGGGTGATGACAGCAAAACAAGTTCATGGATAATTTAGACCATGCTACACTTAGAAATAAATGTTCAAGCCATGTTTGACGGCATTTGCAAATGTGAAGTTCACAAAGATGGAGGGCAGAGTGAATCTAAAAATAGAGGAACCAATTCAGCACCTGGGCCAAGTCTGTGGGCGCCTCTGGCTTCTAAATACAATCTTCAAGTTCTTTACAATTACTAGTGGTTGGTACCTATTGCTCAAAGGCTGACAGAGCAATTTTGATTAATGAGGGTCTAATTCACCTAATGCTCCTAATTCACCTAAATGCAAATTTGCTCCCTGTCACTTTACTGGTGATTCCAGGTCGGGGGACAGTCAACACGTACCTCAATGCTTGGTGTCTGCCACGCAGGATGTGCGAGCTACAGTTGCACTGAGAGCTGTCAAGAGCACAGTGTATCTGCATCCCATCTACAGCCACAAGTTCTGGCCCTGACACTCACTTCTGTGAACTTGAGAAAAACCAGAGCATCTTCAACCTCAGTGGCTCATTTAGCAGATTAACCTGGCACCCGGAGTACTTCAGCCTACCACATAACAAGCGGTCTTTAATGGCTAGTTAGTTTCACAGAGCCTGGAGAGATTCATACAAAATCTAAGTAGGTGTTTGGTAAATATTGTATTAATGTTGATGTCTCCAGAGACAATAAACAACTGAGCCTACCCTAAACACAGATCATGGAGTCTGACTAATTTGAATGCAACCATACACCAGACCCACAGAGGCCAAAATCGAGCTTATTAATTATCACATTTATTAATTGATTTATTTGTATATGTGGGAGGGGGACAGGCCGTGGTGCACATGTGCGAGTCAGAGGACAAATTTCATGCGTCAGTTTTCTCCTTCCACCATGTGGGACTCAGGGATTGAACTCACCAGGTTTAGCAGCAAGCACATTTACCCAGTAAGCCATCTCAGCGATCTGCTGCAGTGTATCTAATAGCATTAATCATTTTTGTGCAGGAAGTAATACTGCCTGGATGTGGGCACCCAGTCACAGTCAACTTGCTTGTCTAGCAATGTGGAGTTCATTTTAGACAAATGTGAAAATAATGGTGAATTTTCAGTTTCATTTTAGAATGAAATGTATAAATTGCTTTGGAAAAGAAAATTTTCTGCTGCTTTTGTGTTGAGTGCTATGCCACATGGTTTAAGCTACCTTGCTGTTACTCATAGTGTAAAAAAGGCATTTACCTGCTCCGCTAACAAAGTGGCCCAAAGAGAATCTACGTACATTTGAGAAAGCCGGGCTTCATTCACTTTTGAGCAGTAACTCGACCAGTGTTACAGAGAGAGATCCTATGAAGACATGGTAAGGTAAAGAGAATTTGAAGACAAGATTTCATAAAGGATCACTTAAATCCTGCTACCACCAGGTATGTGCCTTATGGTCTTCCCTAAGTTACTTATCTCTTGTGAGTCTTTCTCCCTACCTTCAAAATGAAGAACTCAGTATCTTGTAGTCTTATCATTAGGAAGAGAGAGAACTACAAGGCTTTAGCATATAAGATGTATACAATATGTACTGTACTAACTATGCCATTCCGATATTAAATAACATTCTGTTAGTGTAAGATTTAAATTTGCCTCCGACCTCTGGCTACGAACAAACCCCTCTTTCAGGAAAAATCAGGTACTGATGACGTCAAGATGGAGTAGTGGAAGAATAAGAGTACAATAAACACCATCTGTCCAAGGAGTAGTGACACTGTTAAGTCCAGGTCATCTGAGCATCTCAAGAAGTTTATCCAGGAAAAACAAAATGCATGCACCCACTCCAACAGGTCCAATATAGTATCACAACAAAGCATGACTGTTTATACAAGTTCTAAGAAAAACCAGGCAGAGAACCCATACAACTGGCTCTGACTTGCTTCCCAAGAAACAGCTCAGGTGTGACAGGACATAGTTGGTGCCCGCTCCTAAGGCGAGCACCACCTTCCATGAACCTGATACCATACTAACCCAGCGATGTTCAAATACAATTTTGGTTTTGAAAGTATCTTTTTTTCCACTGAAGAGACAGCAAAAGAATTTTAAAATCAGATTCCCCACTTCTCACCTGTTGAAGGTCCAAGATAAACAGAAAAGAAAATGAAGTTTCTGCCAAGTACCAAAGAATCTCAGACTATTGTACACAGGCTAAATATTACAGGAAACGTTTTTGGCCAGGGACTTCAAAAGGATAAGCCATAAATATTGGTTTTCTAATCAACCAGGATGTTGATTCTAAAATAAAACCTTTCACCACTTCACCTTGCAGCCCTAGTGGCCATAAGCCTCTTCCTGTAGTGGCAGTTTCTCCTCTGGCTGCCCAGGATAAGATCCAAAGTACTTCCTATTTTGCCTTAGCACGGTTCTGGGTAAGGATGCAAGCACTTTTGAAACCCTTGTATTTAGATGAGAAACCACTGAATGTCCTGGTACAGATGACTGACTGCCCCAGAGATGGATACCTTAAGGTGTTAAAATTTGAGTAACTCTGTTAATGTTATCTCACATTTCACTGAGCTGTTTTTCCAGCCTCCGATGCATCACAGCGTTCTATGTCTCTGGGAAACCAGTCCTCCGTGAAGAAATGTTTGTACCGAGGATCTCCTTACTAAAATACTAGTACTGCTGCAATCCTGCTTTCTGGGGAGGAAGGAGGGCCTGGTGACTGATGTTGCCATTGGCTCCTTTAAGATAATGGGAGGGAGAGCACTGGGGACCCCTCACTGGGCAGACCTAGCTTCCGGTGTCTGTGAGCCTGATGCTCGGAGCATCAGAAGCAACATTAAAGTGAGCCTAGCCGGTCTTGGAAACATAAAGCACACCGAAGACTACGGGCGCAGCATCACGTAGGCTCCCTGAGCCACGCCAGGGCGGGGCGTTGCCCTAAGTCCCAACCTGCAGCACCAGCGCTGGCCCCTCCCCGCTCAAGGGCAAAGTGAAGGTCATCTGTAAGGGTGGGCAGAAAGCAAGGACACCGGGCTCCAACCCTAAGCCTCTCCGCTTGTGATAATAAAACGTGTCTTTTGGACTTAACTAGGGCAGAGGGAAAAACGGAAAAGCAAAAGCAAAACTCAGCTCAGGGAACTGTCTGCATCCGGCGCTAATCTCAAGACCTGGAGAGCGTGTACACTATGAAAATGTAGGTCTAGCTCCTAGAGAGTGTTTCCATCAAGGAATTAGCATAGGAAAACATACTGTCTGGGAACCCCAGTGCCCTCACGTGTACCTTGGGAGAGAGACCGGGGGCGTGATGTGGTCACCCCCATCGCTTTTACGTTTTAAATATTCTCTTAGCTTATCAAGTCCAAGGGTCCTGGAATTACGTCTCTACAGCTCTGAAATCCCGCCACGGGGAGAAAAGGGAAGACAGGAGCCGGTGCTCTAGAGAGTACCGGTGACGTCTCGGAGTCCCCGCTTCCTGGTCTTTCCCGTCCTGGGGAGGCTGGCAGGGAGGGCCTAGTAACCCATTTTAGTTTTCAGTTTTGTTACGAGCAGGAAGGCGACAGAAAACCTTTTAAAGAATCTCCCTAGTGAAAACACGAGGCGCCGCCCGACTGTCAACGCCACACCGGGAGAGACCCCTGTGCGTACCCAGCCATTCTTCCCGCATTGCAGCAGCGGGGAAGCTGCCTGAAACGCGTGGGAGGCGGGACTGGATAGGAGGCGCTGCGGGAACCCCGCTGTTTTTTCTACGATGCCCAGGGATTGGGGTGGGGCGAGTGCTATGCCATCCAAATAGTCGCCCTGCACCTAATTTCACGAAAAAACTCCTAGCTCGATCATATGGCTCAGACAGTAGACGACCCCATTGGCTAACTCATTTAATAAACCTGTGGATGGAAATTTTTTTCATCTTGCGAATAAAGGATCTTACAACCATACCCCTCATCCTCTGCATCTCATCTGGCAATGGAGCTCCACCCTCTATGGTCGCCCCTCAAGCACCCTAGTTGCTCCTAGCATAGGGCTGCCTCTTCCGGCTCTGGGCCACCAGTTCGCCTAGAATCTCACCCGTCATTTTCACCCTTGTCTCATCCTTTCTCCCAGATTCACATTATAAAACGTTTCGCTCTAGCTCTCCCTCTCTTCTCACCCCGATTATCCTCTTCAGTAGCCCTCTCCGATAGCCCTCCCCTCCGCCCCTGCCCGGGAGGCAGGCTAGAGAGCCGGTAGGCGCGCACCTTGGGCATCCCCGCCGCTGGTCAGGACACCGATGGCTTTGCCATCCCCAGAGAGGTGCTCTAGGTACTTGGGAAGGGAGCCGCTGGAGCCCGAAGAGGAATCCACGTCGCCCATGGCGAGAAGATCGAGAGATGTCGGATAGCTCCCGCTCCGGTGCTCAGCAAGCAGTGAAGACCTGGCCCACGCGCCGGAGCCTTGGAACCGCTGCCCCGCCTGCACTCGCCGGAGCCGCCCACGCCCCGCCCGAGCGCCAATGGGCGGTGGCGGGAGGCGGGACTCTGGCAAGGGCGGGGCCTGTCGGGTCTAAGACTCCAGCAAGCAGCCGGGTGGGCAAGGAGGACTGGGTGCAACGCCATATAGTCTTAGGGATGCGGCGCTGCAGGCCCTGAAAGGTGGAGTCGGATGTGTGGCACCATCTCAAAAGAGGAATGGAGGGATCATCGCCCGGTATGGAGCCCATAAGTGGATGGCAGCGCAGCTGTGGGGATGCTTCCGCAAGTGGGCGTGGAGCGGCGGGCCCACCACGTGGGCGCCGAGGCTCGTGGTGGGCCCATCACCCAACCTGCTCTAGCTGTTAGGGTGGCGGTTGAGGAAGCCCAGAGGTCTGTGCAGCAGCAGAGGCACGCGCCTTGCTTCCAGTCAGATTCAGCCTTTTTGTGCAGGGTCCAGAATCCACAGGATTCCCCAGGTTTCAGCTCCATTCCGAAATCAGGAAGGAAAGATGTGTGAATAGGTCAAGTTGTATCTCTGACTGTGGAGAAGGGATTGTTTATAGAAGAATGTGGGAAGGCCACACCCTCAGCAGGCAGGTCTGGGTTCCGAATAATCCAAAAGAAACCCTAGAAGGTGCAACAAGAAAGGTTTAACAAGCAAGTATAACGAGGCACAGTTCCCATCCAATGAAAGCCCTGTTCTTGCTTTGTTCATCAGAACCCCGAAGGTTCTACTAGAAACGACAAACGCCAAAAAGGGGGTATGCAATCTGTGTTTGATTATTAGCTGTTTTGGAGAGCCACTTCCTGCAGGTTCCTTCAGCAGCCACCCCAAGAATAAAACTGCATAAGCAACCGAACTGGATGGCCCCTCAGAAGGGGTGGCGGCCCTGGGCCCCTTTCCTGTGCAAAATATGAGAAACAAAAATAACAAAACTAAGCAAAGACAATACAAGTAATGTAACTTTTACTTGTCTTTTTACTTGTGGGACAACCCTAAAAAAGAGATGGGGGCACACAAAATTTGGGTCTTCCAATTCACTCCCTAAGCAGCAAACATTTAGAGGAAAGACAATCCAGTGTAGACAAGGATGAATGAGGTCTGATCTCTGCCTTCCAGAATTGATTGAGCAATTCCTAAACTCCCGTGATCAACAGAAGTTGGCCATCTTCAGGTCCCTCCCTCCACCTTCCAACTTCTGGGAAATTAGCCAGGAAAATACATATTTTAACAGGGCTTCTAGATTTTTCTGATGAGCTCTAAATTCAGCAGCAGCTAATCTAACAGCCTACTAATGGATTGTTCCCGAGCATCATCTTAAAAGGGAGAAGGAGATACTACTGGGTGCTTTGAAGGTGAAGTGGGATTCCCGGGACCTTCCAAAGGCAGTGTGTATGTTTTGGAGGCCAGGTGTGTCAGACTCCAAGCATTTCTGCCCACAGGGGGTTCTGCAGCTCAAGGCCCAAGGTGAAAGCTCCGGGAATTTTAAAAGATGCCCTTCTGGAGCCGACAACACTCTAAACCAGTGGTCCTCAACCTTCCTAATGCTACGACACTTTAATACAGTTCCTCATGTTGTGGTGGCCCCCATCCATAAAATTACTTTCCTTGCTACTCCATAACTGCAGTTTTGAATTACTGTTATGAATTAAAATGTAAATATCTGATATGCAGGATCTCTGATATGTGGCCCCCGTGAATGAGGCATTTGACTCCCAAAGGGCGCTCATTACTGCTGACAGCACCTCATGAGACACAGCTGCTCTGTCTTGCTCCAATCCTCTCAGGATGTTTTCGGTATTAACCTCTCCCACCTGTGAGGATCCTGCCTAAGCTTAGATATCTTCATACCCAGTGCATACACCTTTCTTCAGGCTTCTACATCTCCCTCCTGGGGTCTCTATTATTCCAGATGTACCGGTCAAAGCCTCGGGTGTTCTTGTAAAGTCCTGACATCTAAGACCAAGAGGCCATCCTTCTGGAGTATTCTGGTCTGCTAACCAATCACCTTAGTGCCACCTGGGCTGGACAAGCGTTAGTGGTGCTGTCTAGGGAACAGGTTCCTTTCTAGTCCCTGTGCCCTCTGCCTCCCTGCCGTGTATCCTCAACACAGATGTCAGCATGCATCTATTGAAAAGTAATTTAGAGATTAAAGCGATAGCTCAGTAAAGAGCTTGCTTCGCGAACATGAGGACTTTGAGTTCTAGCCCCAGCGCTGTATAAAAAGGGTGAGCATAGAGACATAAGCTTGTAATGCCCCCAACTCTGGCAACCTTAAATGGATCCTTGGGGCTTTCTGGCCAGCTAGCCTAGCCAAATGGGTGAGCTTTAAGCTCTGACTCTCTGAAAACAGGTTTAAATGCCACATCAGAGGTTGCCTTCCCACATGAACCTACACATATACGAAAATGGACACAAATACACATGCAAAAGTTTGCTTTGTTTTGTTTGTTAACATAAATTCAGGGCCTTGTCCATGCTCCAGTAACACCTGTTCCCTCAGAGTGAAAGCTGTCCTTCACATTTGGAAGGCATTCAGCTTCCCTATCCACTACCCCCTTGGCTGGCCAGGTTACTCGGGTTAGGGTTACTCGTGTAAGGCCCTGCTCTTCCCTGAGATCCACCCGGACAAAGGCTTCCCAGCCTCTGGACCTGATATTTCCAGTCTGCAAAGCTCTCCTCTCCCACACCCTGCCTCCTTGCCTTAAGGCCTTAATCAAGGTCACCTTCTTTGTGAGGTCTTCCTGGAGAGTCCTCTTGGAAACTGTAGCTTCAACACAGATATTTTCTGTTTTCTCCAAAGAGCAAGTTAGTGAGTCACGTATGCCTGGTTCTCACTGCACCTACTTACCTTGGGCTTTGGCAGGTTTTCTGCACTGGACTCCAAGTGCTTTGAACAGTGAGGACTTTGTTATTCATAGCTGCTTCCCCGAAACCTCCAACACAATCCAGGCAATCCATGAGCACATGTTGAATGAAGGAAGGAACAAATGAACACATTTATCTCTCACAGAAGGAAGAACTGGTATTCTGCCTATAAATGCCACAGCGGTAATGGCGAAAGAAAAGGAATTGGCGTATACCTGGCAGAGACAGATGTATACTTTCACCATATGGCTCTATTTATGCCTTCTGCAACCACAGTTCACAGGCAGTTGCTCTTTATGGATTATTAAAGATATTTCACACATTTAGGGATACTTCTGGATTTCTTTTTACATCATTTTCCAGTCTTAGAATCTTCCACTTTTGTCTCCACACCACCATATTCTCTTACTTAGGAATCATTTCAAGGTAAAAGAATCAATGTAGGGGGGCTGGAGAGATGGCCCAGTGGTTAAGAGTACTGACTGCTCTTCCAGAGGTCCTGAGTTCAATTCCCAGCACCCACATGGTGGCTCACAACCATCTATAATGAGACCTGGCATGCGGGCACACATAGAAGGAATGCTGGACACATAATAAATAAAAAAATCTTTAAAAAAAGATATGAAACAACATTTAAAAAAAAGAATCAATGTAGGATGGAATGACGGCAAGGGCAGGATGGGGTGGAGCTCCAGTGCCACCTCCTCTTCACCACCATTTTTCTTCCTTGAGTTACCCTTTGTGCTTTGGTTCAGATACACCAAACATGGGTAAACAACACAAGCATTTTCAAAGTCAGTGGTTGCTAAGGAAATCACCCTCGGTCCTGCTCTGGCCCCCACCAGTGCCCAGACTTCCTAGGAACCAGACTGCGCCTCCACCCTGCTGGGCCAGTTCCTCCTCTTCCAACCATTTGGTGGACTTTAGACTCCTCTGTAGCTGAAGTCATACAGGAACCCTCCCTCCCTAGCATCACGTCTTCCCTCCTCTTCATGTCCTTGTCCTCGTCCTTCAGATTTGGGGAAGTTTAGGAAGAATGGAAACTGTGTGTTGGTCTACAATTTCTTTTTCTACCTGGGCCTTTCCTACCGATTCCCTTTCAGACTCCTGTATCTTATTTAGTCGTTAAACTTTAAGTTATGTGTTTGGATACTACTTGCGAGTTTGAAGCAGACCTATGATGCACTGGAACAATATCTAGAAACTGGAATAAAAGGAAATCAAAACACCAAATTATTTCTGTTAAGCATCCCATCACTATTAATTTTAGTTTCTCTAGGGCACTGAATCAGTGATGTGTACTAAAGGATCTTTTGGAGGACAACCTTTTCTTTTTCTTAGTACTTAGGTCGAATAACAGAGACTACCTTTTCTCCCAGCACCCAGTGAAATGAGAAAGCAGAAATAAGCATTCTGTTAAAGTGAAAAAAAAGGGATTTGCTCCTTTAGGACTACCTACTGGATATTTTGGCAATTAATAGTATTACTTAGAAAATGGAGAATGATAATTTATTGGAAAGTAAGTTGCACTTATTACCTACCCTGGTAGCAAAAGAGATCACTTTGAACTTTAATTAACTTAGGATTTGAAAACAGAGAGGGGACTATTTGGAAAGAGGAAGAGGACCAGTAGCAGGTGGGCAGGTTGGGGCGGGAGAAGGTGAATATTGCATGAGGCTAGGGATGTAGTTTGAATATCAGAGTTCTTGTCTAGCATGCATTAAATCCTGGTTCCACCCTGTGCCTAAAAAGAAGAGAATGAGAGAATGATGTTGCACTCCCACTCAAGAGGTTAAGGTAGGAGATCAGAAGTTCAAGTTCATTCTCGGGTTCACCGTGAGTTTGAGGCAGTTTGGCCTCCAGCAGACCTGTCTAGATGTGGGCGAGAATGAATGAGCTGGGAAGGTGTATTAGTGGGTAAAGTGCTTGCTGCTTAAGTTTGACAAGCTAAGTTTGATTCCTGGGGCCCATAAGAAACTGATGAGCTGGACAGTGGTGGCACAGGCCTTTAATCCCAGCACTCGTGAGGCAGAGGCAGGTAGATCTCTGTGAGTTCGAGGCCAGCCTGATCTACAAGAGCTAGTTCCAGGACAGGCTCCAAAACTGCAGGGAAACCCAGTCTCGAAAAACTAAAA